ACGTGCTAACTAGCTGTGGTGGTTATACTCTAGTTGTCAAAATGATACAGCCGTTTCTAGCTAGCGCTACAATCAACCCAATGTGCGTACAAGTTAGCTATCTGCTAGCTAGCTATCCATCGGTAGCATATGTCGATAAATAACCAGTATACCCAAGGTCACTAAAAAGCTAATTGGGCTCAGTGTCTATTTTACTGTTGCATGGTTAAGAGGGTTAACGCAAACTACTGTTACAGTTCATAACCCATGATAGGAATCTAATATACCACGCAGCCAAATACTGAGACGCGAGGGAAGTTAAATTCAGAAGACCCGCTGCGCACTAGCGTTAGCTTCGCTAGCTTGCAGTGTTAGCAAGCGACATCTGCACCGAAATGCACGATGCTGCTTGTTGTATCTCTCAACTGTCCATCACGTTTAAGGCAACATATGTGTAGAGAATCGTGTTAGACGTGTTAGAAGCTATGCAAATGTTCAATTGTTTAACGTGCATTACCTGGAAATCACGCTCTTCGTTGAACCTAGAAAATCTGTCGGCCATTTTCTGAACACAGCAGCAGCGGCTTCTCTGCTCGCTCCGTCCGTGTCCGACAGAAGAGCGCTGTGGTGGTGATGCGCACTCCGCAACCAATTCACTCTCAGTGAACTGGCATCTCACTAGCAGTTTTCACTAAGATGTTACAATGTGACCTGTGGGAATTTAGTTAAGCCATGATAATAATGTAATTTCTATAGTTTATTTGTATACAGTCTTGGTCTGCTGACAGAGCTGACAAATTTACTGTAAAAAAAAAAATGAGTGTAGGATTACTAGTGGGCCAAGGAGGCAACTTCCAAGTTTCCCCCAAAAGTACCTAATCCAGGTAGTTTTGTTAATTTGATAATTTGCAAATTAGTTTGAAAATTTGAACCAGTAAAACACAATATTAACAAATGCATTATTCCTGCATATTAGTTAAATTTGTAGTCATGTCATGTGAAAGGGCAAGGTATCAAAATCTACCTTAAGACCATTATCTATATTATTAATACCTAATTGATTTAGGGTTATATTGATCTAATTTGTTGTAAAGATGTGTATTATCGAGATGCTTTTTTGTGTGTCTTGATTAACGGTAAGGAAAGGTCGTATTATTCCATCAACCAACAATTATCTAAATTCCTGATATTTCTTGTATTACATAAAAACACCATATGAACAAATAAGGTTAAAATCTTGATTTTCATCAGAGGGTGTATTTAAACAATCAATTAACTATCTAAATTGTTAACTCTGAGCTGACTGGTTGATTGAACAAATGATTTCAGCTCTTCAGAGTTCTGATTGGTGTCTGGGTGCCTCTGGGCAACATTGTTATTGTTGTTGTTACTTGTACAGTTAACAACAATCTAAGTGACACACATAAAACCTGTGCAGCAGGTAGTATTATTCTAGCATTTTATTCATTTATTTTCTATTATTTGTACAACAGACCATATACAATAGTAAGAACCACTGTTGTCATTTGACATATTGTTGTGGTTGGTCAATCTTTATTAAGGACACAGCTCATGGTGGGGGGGGGGGGGGTTCCATAGAATGCACAGTGGACTGAAGTTTGGGGGATGGGGTGTCACACACCTGACAGGTTAATCTAGCCATTAAAATCAGCAATAGCCTAAGAACATTTCTAGTGTACATTAATATTTGACATTACTGAGGAAGCATTTGTTTGTTAAGTGCACTTTTCTTAGAAATTGGTCAGAAATTGTCTATTTACTATTCACACAAGTGCAGTACAATGAGTGAGTTTGCAGTCAATCCTGCCCTGACATTTCTATGCACTATGTGTTGTAATGTGCCTCTTCCAAATAGGAGTCAAATTTTACTTGCTGGATCACATCATTAGTTGTGATGGTATGACCACAAGATAATGAATCCCCTCAGAATCAAATGTGGATCTTGTCCTTGTGTCATATAGGTAGACTTGTATGAGACAATATCAGTAGTAGTAAAAGTTAAGTTGACTAGCCCTATGTGTTGTCATCTTACCGGTCAGGTAGTATGTGAGACAAGGCTAAATGTTACCTTTTAAGGTACTTGACCCGACAAAGGCATCACTTATTATTTTAGAGAAAAAAGCTAGAAGTGCACCTGTAGTTTTTCCTATTCTTGTAACATATTGCATAATTTTGTGTTCAGATGATAGCTTTGTGTAAGGGTTCATCCAATTTGCAGACATACAAATGCTTTCAAACAAACATTTGCTTTCCAAGAGTAAATGTTAGACTGAAATCTGCTCTTCTGCTTGCTTTGTTTAAATAAAACGCTTCCATGGTTTGCCTGTGGAATCTCTTGGCTTTTGTTCTCACAACTGTCACAAGATGAAGATATCCAAGGATTTTACTTGGAATTGAAAAAGGGGAAATTACCAGATGATCAATATCCTCTTTGGCACATGACACAGACACAGACATTCTAGCATATTTCTGGATGAGGCTGCTCAAGCGACTTACAATAGGTTCATATTGATATAAGAAACTGAGATCTATTTTAGTCCAGAATTTAGCACTGTTTAGTCAGTACTAATAAATTAAAATCATGGCTGCTGTGATAAATAGTCAGATTTACTTTATTCATGTTAGTGTTTTAAATCAACTTTGGTGAAGATCTGCAAATCTGAACATTTTTAAATAACTAGATGGTGATAATTGGTTTTTACCTCTAAAACAAACATAATGCCTTTATGAAACGTTGTACCAGTGTGAAGGGGAATGACTGTGACTATTTATTATTATGACAACACATGAAAACTTTGTGATATCTTCCTGAAAAATCACAGGATATGTACATTGGTGCTTGACTGTTCATCAGTGTTCAGAAGATTCTATGAAAGACACCAATATTCATTTACTAATTAATATATTATATTGTTTAATTTAATAATAGGCTAAATAATAACCTTAGACTACACATCAGACAGACTATTATGTTACATGTAAATCTGATTAATAGTGTGTGTACTAAATCCCTTTAGTCTGTAGTTTATGACTCCATCTTGTGGTGCTTTTGTGTCAATGCAGGTACCCATGTTAAAGTGTATGTGCAGACGAAATAGTAATATCTCCACTGCCTGGTAAAACAGTTAATTAACCTCCTAGTGTTACCTCCTAAAAAGGTAGTAGTAAGGTAGAAAAATTGAAAGCAAAATGATTCTAAAATTAATATTTTCTAGATAAAATGAAAAAATATCATTGACATTAGCTGATAATTTGGCCATTGAGGTTCTATGAGAAGATATGAAAAGAAGAAAAAAATAAATTCTAAGCAAATTTGGGTGTCACAAAGTTGATGTCAAGGTAACATTAAAGTCAGTTGCATTAGTCATTACAAGCCCTCACCTGCACAGATATAGCCTACAGTACTTGGCTTAGCGTGTACTTTGTCTTCTTTGGTGTTTATTGGCGGTTGGCAAACCAGCTTATAGGCGCATTACCGCCACCGACTGGACTGGAGTGTGGATCAGGACATTATGCAGAAGGAAAAAACAAAACAAAACTATATTCTTTTGGCTAAAGCAGTTTCATCTATAAATTAAACAATGTCATATACTTTCCTTGCAGAGTTTCCCAAGAGACCTGACAACCAAAAATCATAGTGTTTTGCCCTCCTTAGTGACTGAAAAAGGTGATTCCCCTTTAACAATGAGGTCAAAACTTGGTGAGGGGAATAAACAGAGAGGAATAGAAGAGATTGAAACTGTGGGGCTGTACTGTAATTGGTGTAACCCCAGGCTTTCTGCCTTCATGTTACCTATCCATCCAAAACTGATTAAATTGGTCTCATCATGGTCCCAGCAGTCTTTTAAAAAATAAATTTTAGAGGGATATTTGTCATATTGTCCCTGGAGATTAACTCAATATGCCAGCATTATCAATATGCTTGATAGCTATATGAAGGTAATTTATGGCTAGAAAAGCAAAAACACAAGAACCTGTGAATGAGAAAACCAAACAGTAAATGAGACACAAAAATGTAAATGAGAAAACACAATTGTTACAAAAAGCAAACAAAAAAACAATGTAAGCGAAGAATACAATCTAAAGGAGAAACAAGACACCTGAAATCAGTTGCAGTCCTCCATGTATAGAAGTAGAATTGATTTTAGTTCATATTGAACTCATTTGCTTTAAAGGTGTGTTTTATCAAACTGCGTTTTTTCTGTGTGTCAAATCAGCTAATCAACACACAGCAAACCTCAGAGGAGGCTGGAACCAACAATTCACTATTTTCATTATCAACACATCTAACGATTATTTTCTTTGATAATTGATTTCATTGTTCAGTGTATAATTGTAAGAAAATTGTGAAAAATCTCCACCACTAACTCTAATTGTTTTACTTTAAAGCCCATTGGAGATTATCATAGAAAATTGGAAAAATTAACAAACATTCACATTTGATGAGCTGGAACCAGTGAATGTTTAGCATTTTTTTCTGTAATGACTGAAAATGACTTAAACAATTAATCAGTTATCTGATTTTTTGCCAGTTAACTGCCTACTAACTGACTAATTAAGAAGTCTAATCATTTCCGCTCTAGAGTTCCGGTTGATTTCTGGATGCCATGGGGGAAATTATTAAACTATGCATAGTGTGGGTCATTAGGTGCCCAACAACAAGTTTTTGTGGCCATTTTTTTGCAGTTCAGTTTTCACACCTCATAACCACTTCCTTCTCTTCATCTTCAAGAACTGTCAAATTACAAACAGGCGCATACAGGAAGAACTGTACCCTTTGCTTCAAATTAAAAGCATTACGGTCACTCACGAAAACGAGCAAAAATAATATTGAGGCGCAGCAAACAATGTGTCAGTACAGTAAAATAAAATAACAATGGCGATAATGATTTTGTACCATGCCAATCAATGCTATGGTTGTAAAATTAATGGATTGTGATAGTTATTTTGAAATCTACCCGGAAGCCACTATTCTAGCTAAACATCTATCCGATGATCGCCATCGGCCGACGCCTACTAACTGGAAGATCGGTAAGTGAAGAATCTACCGTACAATTACCATAAAATTCAATTCTTTAGTCGGGTAAATTATTTTCTGACTTCAGTCATACCTGCTTCATTTCGAGACAAGAATTTCTCACTCTTTATCTTTGACTTCTGAACGAAGTGGCGGAAACATTTCGAGCGAGGCTTTATGTGGAATGGCGGTGAATGTGGCGAGAAGGAAGTTAATTTTTTAATTCTCTGAGAGCCGCTTTACAGTCTCGAAGAAGTATACTCATAATCGGAGATATAAGCTACATTTACATGGTTGTTACATGAGCTCAAAACAACAAAGACCCGCACTACAAAAGGTAGATAAGTTGGTCTGCTGTTACTGTAAGTGTGGCAGTACAGGTCACCAAAGTTTTTTAAAACCTCACATACGCCTATTGAAGCCAGATGTGTCTGATTAAAACAACTGTTGTACTCCTGCTTGTACTTTTGCTGGTGCCGGCTATTGTTGGATGCTTTTGTTTATAAAGGAAGCCCAATGACAAGATCTCTTTATCTTATCTTTAAGAATAAGAAATAGGCTTATCATAATTTGAAAATAGACAGAAAAGAAGCATGCCAGTGGTTGCAAATGGTACATTCAGAGCCATGATACACATGTAATAGATAAGAAAGCAAATGGAAAAGATGAGGGTTTTTGGTAGTTTTATCCTCACTTATTAATAATAAATAAGAGCATTATTATAATAATAAAGAGCAGTTATTATGATAATTTTATGTTGTCCTGTATTGATCTGTTTAATGTTGTGCCATTGTCTGCTCTTTATTTTAAGCCATTATTCGCATGTATGTGCCAGATTCAATTGTTTACATCTGTCAGCCGTCACAGGTATCTTGCCATAAGTTGAGAGGAATTTCTGTTTCCTCTTTGTAATGCACACACACCGTATATACAAACCCCTGGCAGCCCAGGCCTGGATTCATTCTTGAAAGAGAAGCCAGTGGTGTCCTGTCAATGCAGATGTTTTATTCTCTTTTCATCTGCAAAAAGGGAGAAAAGGTGAAGAAAATAAATGTATATGTGCTTATGTAACAGATTTTATACAAATCTGTTCCCTACATACTGTACATCATCCTAATAAAAAGTAGGCCGCCACTCTTTTAGTCTTTTACACACAAGTTCCACTGCACAGCTGTGTTAGACTGCAGTGTACATAATGTACACATACGCATATATAAAATACATGCCAGAAGTTGTACATGATAATTCAATTAAAATCATATGACTAGTGGGGTTGCTTTCCATTGCGACCTTTAATTTGAACATCACTCATGTATAGCTGCAACAATTACTCAATGTATTTTTGTGATTTTTTTTAAGCAGAAATGCCAAATATTTGCTGGTTACAGCTACCCAAATGTGAAGATGTGATGCTTTTTTACACGTTTTTGATGATGAATTTGTATATTGAATGTAGGGCTTGAACAACTAACAGTTATTTTCACTATTTCATTTTCTGGTTGTTTTCTAGATTAATGAAAGATGCCCATTATAATTTCCCAAACTCTAAGGTCATGTGTTCAGACTTCTTGTTTTGTGTAACCAACAGCTCAAAACCCAGAGGTATTCAGACAAACAGCATTATTAATTGACAAGATGAGACATTATTGTCTCTCACCCACAATTCATCTACATCTTCACGGGGAACAGATGACTCCAGGATGAAACATATGCATCCATACTGACTGTTGTCACAGAGTCATGTTTTGTGTTATTTACTGCAATGAAACCTACTTTTTCACTGTAGTCAATAGTGAGGAGGAAAAGTGAAGTTGTTCAGAAAAACAAATAGGTGTGTCTGAATAGCTTGAGTACCTTTTACATGTATCGCATAACGTGCAGGGCTATGCACGTGTGGTGCAGGACATTTTCCTGAGAAGCAGCCGGCGTTTCCCTTAAGGAATGTGTGTATTCTGTGGCCAACTTCAGGTTGAGTCCCTTTTCCCTGTCCTTACTAAAAGCTTTGGAATTTCATTAATCTGTGTGGGTGTACAGCAGAAGTCGGCTCAGTATGGCCACCGACTGTATGTGGCCCAAAGCTCAGGATTTCTTTGCAAAACTAGATTATAATGGATCGCACCCCTTTGTATTTAAGGCTTAAGGTTATTGTGTGTATACTCGCAGCTGCATGTTAATTACGTACACTTCTGATGTAAACCAATGCAACAGCCCTGCAGTAACGCTTAACGTTTATGTCTGTGAAGCTTACGATGTTCCTGCTTTTGTTGACACTGTCAGAGAGGCGTTGATTCAGCTTAATTGCAGGTTTGAAGGCTGTAGTTAGTCGATTGTATTTGACTGACAGAAAACTAATTGCTATTTTGATAATCGATTAATCGTCCGTCTGTTTTTTGTTTTTTTTGTTCCCAAAAATGCCAAGCATTCATTGGTCCCAGTTTCTCAAATGTGAGAATTTGCTATCATTCTCTGTGAATTGAATGTCCTTTGGGTTTTGGGCAGTTGGTTGGACCAAACAAACACTTTTATTTTTACATTTTATAGACCAAACTAAGACTGAAACTAATTGTTTTAGTTTTGAATAATCTACCCATTATTTTCTCAGTTAATCAATTGGTGTATAGAATATAAGCAAATAATATCCAAAAATATCCATCACAATTTTCCAGTGCCCAAGGTGACATCTTAAAAATCTCTGGTCATTTCTGACCAACAGACTAAAACTCAAAGATATGCAGTTAACTATCATACCAGGACATATTCACATTTGAGAGCTTAAACCATTAATCTATTATGAAAATCATTACAGATTAATCTATCTATTAATCGACAAATTGCTTCAGGTATAGATAAAAGGATTAATTGAGAAGATAGTTGGCAGAGTAATTGATGATAAAAAAATAATTGTTAGTTGCGTCCCTAGCTGCATTATCTCACTATATACTGCTATATTTCTGCTTTGTGTTCAGCTATGGTGGCTATTAATACCTACTACTCATGTATTATTCTGTTGATTCAAAATGAATCACTGCTGTTGGAAATATGAAACATGGCATTTCAAGACTTTGTACCTGGAAATTTGAAAAGTTTTGCATCAGTTGGTGGCTAATAGAGTAGCACAACCAAAGGCTAACTAGCTATGATTGTGTCCAAAGTCTAAAATGTTGTTGCCATGACAATAAACTGTTTCCTTATTACAAAGAAGCAGTGAGCAAATTGCATTTAGCTTTTCACTCATGGCTTGTAGCAGAGCCTCTCAAGTGGTATTCTGAATTTCCTGTGTTCTGTAGCGGTTTTCGTATACGTAAGTTGTTTTGCTACTGAAAAGAAAAGCAAGTGAGATTATGTCAGATAGATACCAAGGACAACTCACATTTCAAGTGACAGTTCATACGCTTGCTTCAAATTCTTTGGGTGGCAAATATTTTCCATAAGAAGAACCTCATAATATCAGATATCAGATTGTCTCATTTGAATATGAGAGTGGGTAGTTTCCTGCTGAAGAAAACTCTGTATTGTTGTTGTTATTAGTTTTAATGACATATAGCGGAGAGTGTGTGGGGGTATGACGTGACATGTGACAGACTATTTTATACACTATCAGTCAAGGGTTTGGACACACTTTCTCATTCAAGTGAATGGGAAAGCGTGTCCAAACCTTTGACTGGTGCTATATATATGTATGTATTAACAGGCTACATGGTACATGAAAGGTCACTAAACTCTTTACATTTCATTCAGTGTCGTGGGTGTGTGCAGAAGATTAAAACTTAAACCAAATTGCTGAGCGTCTCTTTTAACAGTGCAGGTATATTCTGCTTTTAATTTGACTTTGATGCTATCCTGTAATGATCACATCCATCATTTCTTCTTAGCGTGAAAACCTGACAATATCTTGATAGGCGTGGGCAGCAGAGAGCTGACATTCTAGTTTTGTCACTGTCCATAGTTCATCAAAAGCGTAACCAAACATGTTATCCTTTAATCTTGTCTGAGGGAAGAGCAAGTAAGCCAGCCCTGTTGGAGGGAACAGAGGGAGGGGGGGAATATGGGGAAGTGGAGATGCATTTCCCATAAGTCATTGTCAGCCAGCTCCTCCCCCGGCTGGCTGACAGCCAGCATCAAGCAGAAAAGAGAGCAGAGTAACGGGGACTGTGAGCTGAGACGTTGCTGAGAATCAGACCATGAAGGACAAGGCAGACAAACAGAGCACCTAGTTTTTACTAATGTAGATGAGAGGTTATTCAGAGCAGGAGGGAGGATTGCAATTCAGACTGGCATCCGTTGGTAAGTCCACACGCCCCTCTGCCTCACACATACACAGAGTTGTTTTGCGGTTGTGTTTATTGCACTGAGTGCTTCTTTACTTCCTTTCCACGTAAATTCATTGGGGTGTGGTGTTGTGTCGTGCTTTCACAGTACCGGTGCAGCGGCTTAAGACGGAAGTGACAGTTGAATTGCTTTGCTCTAGATAATCTTGCAGTGCATGAAGTCGGCGCACAAGGTAATGACAGTACTAAACTGTAACAGCTTTAATTGAAATTTGACAACAGCTTGATGTCAGTTTTTCTTTAGTATTACTTGTGTTAGCAAAAATATGTAAGAATTACTGAGGTAAATTTAATGGCAAAGTGAATGTTTTAGTCAAGATGTTGGTATTAATCCTTGTATGACCTCTGTCAAGAATATCTATATGTAAACGTGTAGTGTCTATAGTTGAGTTACAGGGAGATGCTGTGATCAAGTCTAGTGGGCACACTGATGCAACATGCTGCAACTGTAGTCCCAGTTCTCAGGTTGTGCCTTTTAAACTGCATGTAATGAATTGAACCAGTGCAGCGACGAAGGCGGTGTGTCTGAGTGTGTCGCTTTCACGGTGATACGTGCTTTGCTGATTATAACCTCCAAACCACGGGGAGACAATAATGCAGGTCTTCATTGGAAATTCAGGCCGGCCTAATGTGCAGTAGTTTACTTCCTCTGACTGAAAAACAGTACTTGCGTTTAACACAGTTGCAACTGTCAAAACAAGGCCAGGGTTGAATTTCCTGCCTCGTCTGCCGACCGCAAACTTTCAAAGTTTCACTTCATCTCGATGATCAAGTGATCCTCACGCTCCTGGACTGGCAGGGCACAATCAATATGTGTTAAACTTTGAACAAGCTATATGTGTGTGCATATTTCTGCTGACAAGACAAATGATCTTGTGCCTTGAGCTTTGTGGTATCAGCCAAATGCCCCAAGTAAACAAATAAATGAAAGTTAGTGGAACTTTATATCTGGTTGTCATTCTCCAGTTTTTCTCCCTTTTCTGTCTCTCTCTCTCTCTCGTTAAGGCAACATCACACTCACATTAGCTGACAGGAAAAAAAAGTCCTGTGTTGCATTATGGGGAAGCAGTTTTCACAAACATCACAACATTTGAAAAGGTCACCCACTGAGTGTGCAGGGACCACGTGTATAGACATATTGTTTTGTGTAGCATGTTCAACTAAACCAGTTCTGATGTGAAAAGTGTGGTTTGTAAAGCAGACAAACGTGTTGCCAATGCATTTCCATTGTAATACAATATATACTATATAAACTATATACTATATACTCAATACTAATATAAACTAGAGCTGCAGTGATTCATTGTTTAGTTGAAGAAGTTCTTTTTTTAAAAAGCAAAAATAGCAACCATATGCTGGTCCCAGCATTTCAAAGGGCTTTTCAGCTGCTTTTCTTTGTCACATATGATAACAAACTGAATATCTTTTGAGTTTTGAGCATTTTTATAGACAAAACAATTAATCGAGAAAATAATCGACAGGTTAATTGCAGCCAACTTGTTTTTATTTTGAAAAGTCTCAGGAAACACAGCCAACGTGTCCTCAGTCAACTCCATTAATCTACAAACATATTTGATTGGTTCTTTCTCTGAGAGACAGTAGCATTGAGGGTTTCCCAATATATAGTCAATATATGGTCAGTTATTCCGGTTAGTTCTAATTTAGCATTAATGTGGTAATCTAAGTTAAAGACTGAATCTATGTAATTGTGGTGAAAGCCCATGACTTATCAGTTGCTTGTGATATTCTCTCTTTCCAGACCCAGCAGATGAAATGGCGGTGAGGCAGGTGAGGCTCTTCAACTCAACAGCACCATTCTCCGGGTCGCCCCAGGCTGACCTGAAGGGGTCGTACACACCATGCTCGGCCGCTGACCAGGGGACGGAGGAGGAGGAGGAGGAGGGCAAGGACAGCAAGATGGGCTACCCGCATTTAACCCCAAGACTAAACAAAGTCTTGACACATGGAACTGCAGAACAAGTGGGCAAAATGCCATTGAAGACCACAACCATCATTGCTCAGGCTTCATGTAAATATACATATATTTTTTTAATAATATAACACATGATAAAACTGTGCATGGACAGAATTGAACAACAACACTGTGCTTTCCTCAAGGTGAAACCCAGGACTCCCAGAGGTTTAGTCCATCTGACCTCTCCTTCCCCTTTGTTTCCTCCTCACCCTGCTCCACCAGCAGGTATGGCGTTACCTTGACAACATCGCCTGCATTTCACATTTCATATTAATTTACCTCATTTCTATGAATTGTTTAATGCCGTGTCTGGGATTCATGTCCTTTTCTTCTTTTGCATCAGTCTTTCCTCAGAGCACAACAACGTGGCATGCCCAACAACGGCCTCCGTCCAGGAGCTGAGCAACTCATCAGCACAGCTGAAACCCAGCAAGAAGAACAGGAAGAGACACAAGCGTAGAGAGAAGAAAAGGCTGGAGAAGCAGGAGAAGCAGCGACACAGACATCGAATGCCTTCTGGAGTCCCTGAACAGGAGAGTGGAAGTTCTCTGGTCCAGATCCAGGTGAGAATTCTGCTTATTCTTCACATCACAGTTAGACTTACATGTGAAAAAGCTCTTTGGAGTAGGTTGAACAAAGTATACTCTTGTATTAATAAAGGAACCAAAAGTACTTGGAGTGTTTTCCTTGTGAATCATCTTCAAGGATGAATTGAAACATTCTTTGGCAGGCAGAGGCTCGATCTCAAGACGTTCCCATGCAAACATTAGCTTTTCTGTGTTGTGGAAGTGGATCACTGAATTCAAACAAAACTCCCTGAACAAACTCAAATGATAATTTAAACACCATGTAGTCTGATCAGCCATGCTTCTTGTTTGTCTCCTGTAGGAGTCGTCGTCTCTCGGGGGGAGAAGCAGTCTCAGTGCCTCTCGCTGTAGCAGCATCGAAAGCTCAGAGGAGCGGGACAGAGGGCCTCCTCTCTACAGCCGACAGATTTACAACACAGGCTCCAGCTGCTCTCCGCTCAACTGGCGGGAGCATGTCTGTGGCCCCCTCTCCAGTCTCCGGTCCTTCGAGCAGGACAGCGTCTCGGACTCCCTCAGCAGTTTGGGAGGCTACTCGCTGGCCCTCGCTGGCCTCAGGGGCAGCGTCAGTCAGGGGGACCCATGCTATGCACGGCCCTTTTTCAAAGATGTGGAGCGGGACATGAGAGAAGAGGAAGATGAGCTCTCAGAAGCCGATTCTGTCAGTAACGAGGGAATCATCTTTTACAACGATGTACGTTCTGCTTTACTTCAGTTTACATCCTGTCTTTCGTATGTTGAAAAAGTGGTTCAACCAAACTAATTTGTTTCTATCTTTTCCTGACAGAAAATTCAGCCTGTGGACTCTGAGTACAAGGAAGGGAGGGAGTTTGTCCTCTCAGATTTCATCAAGGAGGGCTCCTATGGCGAAGTGCACAGCGCTCAAGATGTCAACACGGGCTTCAGATTTGCTGTCAAAAAGGTAACATGGAGCGTATCTTTGTTTGTATCTAAGTTTTTTCCGTTGCCTGGTTTCAGGGTGTCGTCTGTGATTGATTTGATTCATTTGTTCCATTGTTTCCTCACAGATCGCCCTGAAGAGGTTCAGCAGTGAGGAGGTGGGTGCGTGGAGTGCCCTCAGATCTCCTCGCGTGGTGGAGCTCTTTGGAGTGGTCAGAGAGGGGCCTAATGTTTTCCTCTTCATGGAGCACAAATCTGGTAAACATTTCTTTCATTTTACACACACAGCACATTCTGACAAGACTTAATTGTTGGAGAATGTGTGTGTGTGTGTGTGTGTGTGTGTGTGTGTGTGTGTGTGTGTGTGTGTGTGTGTGTGTGTGAAGAGTTGAGTACAAAAACATGTACAGTAGGTGCACCATGAGTATAACAATGTTCAATTGTGCAGAAATACGGATGCGTTTGGTGTCGAGATGTGGAAGTGGGTGGTTTCTGGGATGCTAGAAATGACTGTTGAGCTTCCTTAAAAGCCAAATTACACCAAACATCTGTAATGGGAGATGCCTGCTTGATAAACACAATGGCATATCTCACACTTTTTTTCCTTTGTCATCAAACTCGCTTCTTAACAGGCGGAGGGAAGAGTTGAATCAGACACTGCGTATTGGTAAATATTAACAATACACAGTCTTTGTCCTGCCCTGACCTGATCTGTTATTCCAGGCTCTCTAGGCCAGCTGATAGCCGAGCGTGGCCGGCTGCCAGAGGACTTAAGCCTCCACTACCACTCACAAGTCTTAACAGCACTGGAGTACTTGGTTAAGAAAAAAGTGGTGCACCTAGATATTAAAGGTATGGTATACTAAAACTTTTTCCACAAATATACAACAGTTAAACTCATGTTCCAGTCTCATCTGAGTTACAAAGTCAAAACACAAATGGTGATGCCGTAACAAAAACTGGCATGTTCTCTTGAAGGTGTATCTTATCTACTAAAACTAAATCTTTATCATATCTATATAGTAACACTCCTCTGTCCTCCCAGATATTGCCACTCTGTGATATCACCAAAACACAAACAAGGAGACGTTGGTATCAACCCACAAACACTTTCAAAGCTTAATTTTAACAGCAGTAATTGCAGTGCTCGAAGTAGCAAAACAAAGTAAAACAAAATGTGTCAGCTTGACTTTTACTTGTGGTACCTTGGCAAAAGACAAAACATACAGAGAAAGTCAGGTTTCTAGTTTGTTCTCATGAGAGGATTTTGTGTCTTTGTGCAGCTGTTGTGTGGAACACAAGTGTCACACAGTCTAGATTTGATCTTCAGCACCTGTGTTGTGAAACTAGACTACCACAGAGAAAACGACCGAGCTGGGAATTTCCCACAGTGTGACTCACCGCTGCTCTTAAGAAACGGCGCATGTGCAAAGAATCAGGAGAGCAAGAGAAAAAAGAAAAGAAGAGAGATCGAAAAGGGGAGGGTGGGGGTGGGGGGGGGGTGAGAAGCAGGAAGTAGTTTGAGAGAGAAATGACGTGAGAAAAAGTACAAGGACAGAGAGAAGGCAGGGGATGAAAATAAAGTGGTGAAAAGTGTCAAAGAGAAGGAAAGAGAAAAACAGAAAGCGAATCATGTTAGAGGAAGAACAAAAAAAAAAAAAAAAAAAAAAAAAAAAAAAAAAACAGACAAAAGTTGGAGGGTAGGCAGAAAACATGATTGTGCTGTTGCAGCTCAGGCGCCACCTGGTGTCTGCAATGCCAGAGGAAACTCAAGGCACTAATGCCAAATCTCTATCTGCTGCCTGTTTACTAGTCTCCACATTCATTCCACATTAAAGTGTTTCTCTACAGCAGCTGTGACCTCAAATTTGCCTTTTATTTAGCTCCTTTGTCTGTAGGCTGTTTTATGTTTGTGCAGCTGCCCTGTTTCTAATAATGTCTTCCACACTGTAAACTACACAGCACAAGTTATGGAAATCAACCAAGTGCCACTGAGTCCACTGAGTGGCGTCAAGATTAGTCTAGTCAAGTCAGTTTATTTATAGAGCCCATTTTAAAGACAACAAATGTTGACCTAAGTGCTGAATGCAGATTAATGCAGTAGACCGTTGTCTGTGCTTGTTTCCCACAGCTGACAACGTGTTGCTGTCGGAGGACGGTAGAGACACTTTCCTGTGTGACTTTGGACATGCAGAGAGACTGGACAACCAGGGGCAGAGCCTCAGTGGGTCCAATGGTAAATACCGTGTGACGTTAGCCATTCAGATAAGACGATGTGTAATTTATCCACTTGCATGTCTTAACCCAATGTTTTCCCAATGTAATTCGATGCAGATCTGAAGGGCAGCGAGACCCACATGGCCCCTGAGATCGTTAAAGGGGAACCCCGCGGAGCCAAAGCAGATGTGTGGAGCAGCTGCTGTGCGTTACTGCACATGCTCAACGGGTGTCAACCTTGGACAAGATACTACACCTGTAGACTTTACCTGAAGGTATACTTCACGGCGACACACAGATGCCGCCACACCCTGCTGTTTCATCACAGATGTTCGGTTCTGCCCTTCACAGTCCACTTTTTGTGACGGTTACAGATCGCCAACGAGCCACCGCCTTTGAGAGAGATCCCGCCCGACTGTAGCCCGCTCACGGCTGAAGTTCTGAAGGCAGGACTCCAGAAGGATCCGGTCAAGAGAGCATCAGCATCTGACCTCAAAGAAAAAACTGACAGAGCTCTGAAAGAAGGTAAATAAACTTGCACAGCATTTTTTGTTGTGTTCTTCTCCAACAGTGAAGGTTTGGTTTCAGAAGAAGGAGGGACACAATGACGCACAAAAAAATGCAGTTGAATCAATTGAGCAAACAACAGACTTTGTTTTTTGTTGCTTTCTATAATAATGCCATGTAAACCTTTGTATTGGACTAAATGTGATGTGTTTGTGTGACTGCAGTTGGAGGACTCACCAGCCCAGTGAAGGGACCCTACACCGACCCCCTGTATATCGCCAACAAACCTCCTGACTTCCTTCAACTCATCAATAGCAGCGTTGACTTTTACGATGAGGAGGAACATCAGGAGTCTGTTGAGAAAGTGATCACGGCAGGGGGGAGGAGGGAGGCACTGGATGATGATGAAGAAGAAGAAGAGAAGGAGCGAGGCTCGCCACTCTGTCCACAAATGCTGATCTCTGAGCCAAACCACAGGAGGAGCAGCAAGATAACCACTGTGTCTGAACTTGAGCTACGTAAACTGGAGCGAGGTGAGGCTTCTTCCTGTCTTCTGCTTCTTGTCTTACAGTCGAGTGTAGGTTGGAACTCTGCTCACTATTTTCTGGTTTGTTTGCAGATTTCTACCTGAGCAGTTTGTCCCAGCCTCAGTCTGCTGAGATGCAGGTGCACCTTTTGTCTTGTCTCAGCAATGAAGCTTATTCAAATTGGGAACCATGGGACAAAAAGGTAACCCAAAACACACACAATCGAGTGCATCTCATCATCTAATTTACTTCACAGTATGCAGGAAATAAATGATTAGAGTGAGATTGATTATTGGTAAATAGGGATCTCAGGAATCATCGTCTTGATCCTGGTCTTGATCCAAAATTCAGTATAATTCAATATAGAAATACTCTTCGGGGCCTATGTAAACAAAGAGCTTCTTCAGTGTTCATCCATTTTGGCTGAAGTATTAACAGACTTACTGTTCGGCTTGTGTTCCTCTTTTTTTTAAACGTATTGCAGGACTCTGGCCGCTGGTCCCTGAGCCCAGGAGATGACTTCAGCTCTGGTGTCTTCTCCTACAGCAGTCAGCCAGATGTGCAGGTCTTCAGCATGGATTTGCTGGGTCAAACACAGCTACCACCACCCTGTTGTTTTGAAGGTGCGATGAAAAACATTACCATTTCTCATCTTTTAATAGTAACACGTGATACCATTTCCCTTACGCCATGTGCCTCTCTGCTTTGTGACTGGCTCAGGGGTGGATGTCTGCATCAGAGACTTCAGCAGGAGAAGCATCCGAATCAGAGAGACACGCCGGGTGAAGGTGGGCCACATCGCCACTGGGATCAGTGATCAGGTGAGAGAGCTAACGGCATAACAGGCTCATGATTCAAGACAGCGGTTCAGGTTCAGTGTTTGCACACTTGCTTAGATGCTTATGTGTGCTTCTCCTTTTTAGATCTCCGAGAGAGTTTTCACTCTGGAGACCCAGCAGGGCCTGCAGATCGCTCACGACGAGGAGGTGCAGGAGTCCGGTCTGGAGCTCTGCTGTGTTCCCGCTCCAGACTTCAGCCCCGCATGGAGGTGGAGGATCAGAGACGGGGTGCTGGAGACAAGATAGAGCCAAGACCGCTCTGCTTCCATCGGCCGCATTGTCATCTTAACCGTTGATAATAACGCCTTGTGTTGATTTGCTTTTAACATGTGCCTTTCGTTTGTCTTACAGTGTGAGGCCCATACATTCATGAGTGGTAAATAAAATCTACCCAAATTGCCTCATGCTTTAAATGACATAATGGAGGTTGTTACGTAGCTTTTACCCATAACTGAAAGCACTGAGCTTACTGTGATGTTTATGTGTTTGCATGGAGTCAATAAAAAGTAGCCTGAACTATGCAGTGTGATGCATTATTGATCTTGCTTATTCACTAGATTCATTGAACCCCCTCAAGAGTCTAATGGGGCTTAAATGACTTCAAAGTGTATTCATTTTTATGATGGCACTGCTGTAAGCCTCTTAAATATAATCCTCATTCCTCAACTAATGAATGCATATCCATCTCAGCAGTAACAGTAAAAAGATTTATTTTCCATATTATAACATACAAGGTCACTGCAAAAAGATTTTCAGGGAGACTTCAAACTAATTTCAGCTTTACAAATGTGGTAGAAAACAGTGAAAATTTGAGAATATCAAAGTGATTTATAAGATTTAAAAAAAAAAAAAATACACCAAGGCACTGACAAACAAGAAAAATGTATAAAAAGCCTTTTGCTTTGTAGATAAGATTGCATTTGAAATAACTCAGGTAAAAATACAGTACTTAGAATATGTATAAAGTGAGGTAAGCATCTGTGAGCAAACCAGTGCTGTCTATGTCTGCAGTGCAACTTCTTCCATAGACTGCAGGAAGCATCGGCTCATGACTTGTGGCTCCCTTCACGATAGACAAATAATTGCCAGGCTTTATCTTATTGGGAGCCACATTACGGTCACAATGCTGGTCAAAATGCCCAAACAGACAGCATATCATTGACTATAACACGAAAGGAATTTAGATTCATTTTGCTGAGATCATGACGTTTTAGTCAAATCCCTGCTGTGACACTTTTGTTATCCACTGAAATAAGGCAGAGTTAAGTATTCATGCGAAAAAAGCATAGAAATTACTTGGGGTTGGTTAAACCCAATTATTAAGCTAATTTCTCTTCAATTATAAATCAAACAATTGTTTGCAAAAATATCTATTCTTAACTTGATGGGATTCGACCACCATGTAACACGTTCATTGCCAGCAGATCATTGCAGATTTACACCAGTAAACACTCACAAATACATATGAAGATGGAATTTGTACTATGCAGACACCATGGTGAAATGAATGAGAGTGGGAAGCTCAGAAAAGCAAGTTGAATGGACTCAAAATAATACAATGAAAATAATGTAGAGAGGAATAGAATTCATGAAAACATTTCAATCCATAGATCTTTTAGAGCAGACAGATTTATGCAGTGACTTTTTTTTTTTTTTTTTTTTTTTTTAAATCTGTACCAAGTAAAAAATAAATTACTTAAAAAGCATTCCCTGTTCAAGTCTGACAACCTTTCCACCCCGCATTATGTGCATGTAATCATGCAAACTCGCTTCCTCAGTGGCATAGGGATCATGGTTTTGACAGTGCATTCAGGCAAACTCCCAATCCTTAGATATGACTAGGAGGCAGAAGTGTTTCTCCTTGTCCAAATACAAGTTCTTCTTGTTCGACTTGTTCGCTCTGCTGTAACTTTCTGTTGTCCTTCTGATGTTTGTTCTTATTTTTGTTCCTGACCCATTTTCCCCCTCAGTCGCAGTTCTTCTCATCTTTCATCCGTCTGCTTTTCACATTCCTCTCACATCCTGCGAATGACTACAACAGTGGTGAGAACACCAGCCAGGAAAACCCCCAATGTCTGCCATGTAGGAGTGCCGAAGTAGGAACGAATGCCCTCCTAGAAATCATTAACAGACACAAATATTAACATATGTCTTACAAGCAATCAGGAGCAGAAGCTCAGTTACCATATGATTATTAGATGGTTAACTCCTTACCCAGCCTCCTTGCTCCCTGATCCAGTTGATCACATTATCCCGGAGGTAGTCCAATGTCCAGCTGATAATGGTTTTGATGATATCAGGAACTTTGGTCACAAGAGCCTGAGAGGAGTGAAGGAAAGATGCTTTAGATGTTTGTTATTCAACAATAATTCCATAATACAGACATGTCTCCCTTTGTGTTGTTTTCAGAATGAGGTGAGGTACAACACATCTACTTCACTTACTTTGATGACAAGTCGACAGGCAAAGTAGAACAGGGCGACCACCCTGCCCCAGTTGTATCTTCCATCTGAAAAGATCTCCCTCGCAACTTTCATAAAGATGTCTTTTGTGGGATTGACTGAAGGGTCATTCATCATTCTGGGGAAACCAACATTGAGCAATTAGGGACTGGTTAATTGTACAGTTATTATTGGTAAAGCTTTGTAATTCAAAACACTTAGCACCTTTACTTTGATGGAACAGATCCACAGACATCCTACCTCTGGAGCTCAACATTTCCATCCAGTTCATCTCCAATCTGCTGCAGGCACTGGGCGAGCTTCTTGTGGTTTGGGTCACACAGCTCTCCTCCACCCAGGTGTGCCCTGGTCACCACAGTATTGCCGTTTCCATGGCGCCGAACCCGCTCATAGATGAAACTAAGGGGGACACAGATACACAGTAATATCTATGATTTGAGTATTTACCCAGGTCAGTAAAGAAAAGGCAAGGTGTACAGTGTAAACTTACTCCGTTAACAAAGCAGCTCCTACTTCCAGTATCTGATCTCTGGTATTGCCTGAAAGACAGTGGTCATTGTTAAATCACTCAAACGCTGATAGAGCCGTTTTCCAATCAAGGTTAATAATTAGGGAAGCACTACTTTGTGCTCATTTAACTGCATATTTACTATCGGTTGAGTCGGAGTCTTGGGTCACATTTTACCGTTAGTTCATTTATATTAGCCACACTTAGAACATCATAATAAATCATTATATTTTTGTTTATTATTCTCCCGTGAATTCGCATTTTATGGTGTGCTTTTCCATTTATATCCACTGTGTAAAGTAAAAGAACCCCGTGAGAAACATTTACTCACAGCACATAATATCCACGGTTCTGGTTGTTCGTTAATTAAATTAACTTAAGTTAAATTTGCCGAAGTTAGACATTGTGGTGGCTACATAAGCCAAATATCTACCAAGCCAGACAGACCAATGGACTTCGATATTTTCGAGATCAAAGAGTAGCCAATCGTTATCTGTGTTTCGGTTTTGTTCAAACATATTTGCTAACTCACTGTTGTAGCTAATAAAGCTAACGCCGCATACGAAAACCCAGAGTAAGTGCTAGCTAACGTAAGGCTAACCTCAGTTAAGCTAATGTTAGCGCTAGCAAGCAAACAAGCCACAACCACAGAACAAGAGTTAATTCTTGAAATGTCAGATTGTCCTAGTCTACCAAACTGTTGGCAACACTGTCACAGTCAGTTTAATGTTATAATATTGTTCATGGTAGCACGTACCTTGGTCGCCTCCTCCCAGGTGAGATGCCATCTTGTTGTCTGTTTAGATCGCAACTACTTCCGTAGAATCATGTGACAAGCTTTTATACTCTAGTGAGAACTACGGCTGCAGGTCACAAGTCTTCACTGAGACTGATAGGACTGATGTAGTCAGTCAAAAACAAATAAATCTGATTGACAAGAGCTGTGACACTGTTTACACAAAGTTGGTAAACTATTAAAGTAAAGGCGTGTACTGCTTCAGAGGCGGGGTGGTTATTCACTGTCAGCTATGTTTTATTGATCTACTCACCGCACCCTCACCCCTGTCACACCGCCTTTGGGAGAGTTCGGGGGACAATAAATTAACAACGAACTGTCTTAAAGCGGTGTTTACGTTGTTTGTTACATTTATCAGTTAGAAAAGTTTGTGAATAAAAAATGTTTAATTTTTGAGTCTCGCCTTTTCATGAACGTCACTTCCTTTGACTCGCAGTCTTCCGTCCGTCGCGCGCATGCATAGGCCTCTTTACGACTCTGCTGGCAAAGATGGCGGACGCACAAGTACGTTTGGGAGAACGGCGTGGTGAACTTAAATCGATATATAAACATTTAAATACACGTATTAGGCAGGTTATATTAAGTATGTACCAGTGTGTGCTCCTTATACACGGCCCAGAGCCATTCCAAAGCACACCCAGACTTCAATAGCTGAGATTTGTTGCCGATCTGCATACCCTCGTGTAACGTTGAATTAGCCGGGGTGCTAACTTTGTTAGCTTAGCCTGCTACTATTAACTTCCCAATTGTAAGTGACTTGTTTTATTTATGCTGCCAGCTGTAGCAATTCCCAATAGAGTATTTTGCCTGCCTGTAATTTACCTGGCTGTTTGTCTTTTCAGCGAAGGGTGATATCTTTCATAAGAGGAAGTCAGCTTTGAACTAGCTAGAAGGGCCAGGCAGCGATGTGTGAAACGGGTCGCCCCTGTGTGAGATTGTGGATGTCAATGTTAACGTGGGTTCGGTGTTTCACGGCCTTCATATTCTATTGCTTTTGTTGCTTCACAGACCGAGAGGGCTTATCAGAAACAGCCCACCATCTTCCAGAACAAGAAGCGTGTTCTTGTCGCCGATGGTGGCAAGGAGGCCAAGGAAAAGCTCCCCCGCTACCACAAAAGTGTCGGGCTGGGCTTCAAAACCCCAAGAGAGGTAACTTACTGTCCTCGAACTTAGTCAGACTAATAAAGGGAAATTGTAGCTGTTCAGTTTTTAATTGTAAACTGCAAGTGATGCTCTTTCTCACGATGGTCTTCCAAGCCTACATGGTTCTGACGACAATGCCTTTTGGCAACACTGATGCAGTCAGAGTTTTAAATTTGACTTGATTTCATTGCTTGGGAAAATGCCAACAAGGATAACACTAACAACATTCTTTGTTTTTATCCAGGCTATTGACGGCACTTACATTGACAAGAAATGCCCCTTCACTGGAAATGTCTCCATCCGTGGCCGTATCCTCTCTGGTCAGTTTAATACTTGACAACAAACTAACACTTGCCTGTTGGCACTGGCTTTGGTTGCTGCAGTAGTGTCTGTATGAGTCGATGCATTTGCTGTTATTTAAACATTAAATTCTGCTGCAGTAAAACAAACTACACACAAAGTGACCTATTGATCCTTAAATACATTATGTAATTATCTTGCCATGGATGGTTCCTCACTTTGGTTTTATTTATTGTACAGTTTAGAGACTCCAAGCCTTGAAAACGTGAGTAAAATGCACTACACTAAATAGAATATCCACCCTAGAAGATGCATGTGAAGCAATCCAAGCCAGACCCAACAGGTTAATACAAACGGCATTGTTTTTTTTTTGTTGTCACTGTCCTGCAAATGATGTTTTTCTCACGATGGTCTTCCAAGCCCTCTGGGTTCTGACGACAATGCCTAATGGCAACACTGATGTAGTCTAGTGACAATAATTTATTTGTAATAAAACTGAAACAAAAAATTCTCAGATCCTCCTTGTATCTTGACCTCTCCTTTTTAAGTGACTTCTGTAATTTCTGTAGAAAGCTGTTTATCTCACATTTTGATTCTGTTTGTCCTGAAGGTGTGGTGACCAAAATGAAGATGCAGAGGACCATCGTCATCAGACGCGACTACCTGCATTACATCCGCAAGTACAACCGTTTTGAGAAGAGGCACAAGAACCTCTCTGTCCATCTGTCACCTTGCTTCAGGTACTACTCCTCTCACATGTTAATTTAATATTCAGTCATAGCAAACATGGAATAATTTGATTCAAAAGTAAATATCACTAAATCAGCATCTGTCTGTTGTCTGAATGTGATGCCACAATCTTTCCAAAAAACTGTTAATTTTGCTGCAAATGATGTCTTTCTCACGATGGTCTTCCAAGCTCAGGAAGCTCTGACGACAATGCCTTTGGCAAACACTGATGCAGCTCTGCTTTAAACCTCCTGCTCAGAGCTAAACCTTTATCAGCTTGACATTGGACAGAGATATACCCCAACCACCTCTTAATATCTGTCTGGGTTGTGTTTTTCTGCAGAGACGTCACAGTTGGAGACATTGTGACCGTCGGAGAGTGCCGACCACTCAGCAAGACCGTGAGGTTCAACGTCCTCAAAGTGACAAAGGCTGCAGGCGCCAAGAAGCAGTTCCAGAAGTTTTAGGCATTTTGACTATGAACAGGAAGGCCACAGTTACTAACTTGTCTCATTGTCAAATAAAGAAAACGTTGTTTAAATAGCCGTTTTTTGCCATTTGTCTTTGTCAGTCTAAAATGTTCAACTATACAATACATGCACATAAACTGATCTGCTTCTTCTGTTTTATTTTCTTAAGTATATTCAGTCTGTTAATGGTGGTACACTGCATTTTACAAGTTGATGAGTGATAAGGATTATAGATGCAGAAGAGAATTAATCTGCGTTTATATAGTGATTTAAAGGACGACCTCTAAAATCTGGTCTTAACATTCAGTGAATAAAGACAGATTATAAGAATAAGAAAAATTAGATGGTAATTATATGGGATACTTGAAGTAGTTAAGCTTTTTTTTGTCAAATATATTTACATTGACGAGTGTTCTTTACCCATTTACTAATCTTTACCCCCATTAAAAAGAAATTTGACTATATTGATAGGACGGCTAAGATGAATGGAAAGTATTTTCTCCTGTTCCTTAGATTGCCTTCTCCACATCCTAGAAATTGCCACACCCTGCATTACTAGTTTAAAAAACCTACTGGATACTTTGTAGCCCAGAACTACAAGTGGAAAAGTAAAATGAGAACCATCTGTTCCGGCCAAATACTGTGTCCTTACCATAAAAAGGAGACAACAGTGTCTATATGCAGATCAAACATGTAACCAGTATCAGTACTGTAATGCGAAGGGGAGAATAATTATTGTATAGGGTATGTAGTGTAAAAATGTACTTGCATACATACATTTGGTGTAAAATGGGGGGAGAAACAGGATAACGATGCGCCCATCCATAGGGCATAAGGGGTCTGAATATGACCCCTATATATATAGTTTGAATATGAAAATTATGTGAATTATATGCTGTGGTCTTCAAAATCACCAGATCTCAACCCACTGTGAACACGTATGGGAGATTTTGAATCGACGTGTTTCACAGTGCTCTTCACCATCATCACCAAAACACCAGATGAGGGAAAATGTTTTGGAAGAATGATGTTCATCCCTCCAGTTTTTCAAGTTCCAGAGTTAAGAGACTTGTAGAATCAATAACCAAGGAGCACTGAAGCTGTTCTGGCAGCATGTGGTGGCCCAAGACACTTTATACTGTTTTTTACTTAAATTTGTCATTTGTTTAAATTCATGATCATCTGTATTTGTACAGTATATACAGTCTGGTTAGATTTCCTATCGACAACAACCCAATGAAAGGACCACCTGGATACACTAATGCATGAGTGATGTTTGTGTAATCAGTGTTCACGCAGAGAACACTACCACCTCAGGGAAATCAGACAGCTTGAATGTAAATGTTTTTTTTTAATCAGATTTGATTAGATCAAAATGAAAAAAGCAGCTGCTTCACCTGATACACAGCATCCCAATGTAATCAGGTTTTGCAAAATTAACAGAGAAATAACGAAAACAAGATCTGCGATATGATAAATGTTACGAGTTAATACACACACCATACTGAGAGAGTATAGGGTTGAAAATATGTGGAATTTACATCAAGTCATTCAGCAGTGCTCATTCACCTCCGTGTGAGCAACAGGCACAGTTTGATAGAATTTCACCTTTTAAATCTATATAAGATTACAGACGTAGAGATGCAGGAGTGGAGTGTGAGTAATAAAATGGAAGAACCAGATGTACAAATTAAATATTATATATTTTGTATTTTGATATATTGTCTTATAGTATACCTTGTTATCTAATTAGGATCTTTTAAGGTATCAATATGCCTGCAGCGCCTCCCAATGGTGCAGAAGTTTTCAACATGTTTTTTCACATAAAACAAATGTGACCAGCAGAGGGCAACAGATAACTGCTTTATCCTGATAAGTAATGCATACTTGAATCCAACACACTAAGCTACTTTGTGTATCTGCTAAAATTTTGTCTTTGAACTGAAGGTAAAAGCTCTTCTGGTTACAATTTTCAAAATAATGTGCATGTGTAAATAATCTTATTCTATGACTGAATTCATGTATTGGCACTGCTGACTTTCTGAGAGAGTTGATCATTTACAATAGCAATGAATCAACATGATTTCATAGAAATAAGTAAACTTCTTTACACCTTACTAATTAAAGCTCTGGTCATGAATGTGATCAAATGATTGAACGTTCAGCATGTGCGAGTTGGATCTGTTTTCCTCCTAATAATGTGAGATAAATTTAAGCTCACATTAGTGAAATAAAGATACACATGCAAGATTTAGGCAAACCTATAATATGGGTGCACAATGCGAGACTACAGTATTATTTGAGCGATGAATATGCAAAGGAAGGGAGGAGGGATAATTGTCACAGTAATAAGTTGCTATGTTTGTGTTTGCTTGATCTTTGCAAATGTTTTTTTTTTTTTTTTTGATCAGCCCGTAACTCAAAGTTGATCGATCACTGTAATCCAACGACTTCAGCATCACTATGACGCTCTAGCTATAATATGACCTCCTTCCTTTGTACAGTTACAGCCGTGATGATGCTCAACA